GAAAGCTAAAATTCTACAAATGTAAAGCTTAATTCGAGTCAAGAATTTCAGGAAGTGGTTTGCATTAATATTAACGACAGGATTCATTAACTGCCCAAATTCTTGCTCGGTCTTCCCTGCTGAAAAAACCCCACCTCATAGAATGTGTAATGGTTTTAATGGTTATAGTGGGGATTGTATTGATTTTAATGGAAATTCTAATGGTCCCTGTGGTCTCTACTGGTCATTCTATTGGTGGCTTGTTATGTCTAGTGGATACCGTTAAGGACCAATAATGATAATGGTATTAATGTTTAGCTGATGGTTTGTAATGATATTTGTAGTGGAAACCATTAGAATTTCTGTGAGGTCTGTATTGTATTTTTCAGCAGGACTAGCTTTTGTACATTTCTTTAATACAAATTTTGTCTTACATGCATATGTTATGCTTACTAAATTAGTATCAGTTAAAAGAGACCAAAAAAATGCCGTTATGTTTTAAGGGAATATTTTGGATGATGTTAAATATTAGATCTGATAAAAAAATAATAATAAAAAATAAACATTTGTGGATGTCTGGGATTTTATTTGCAGAGACAGAAGATCTGTAGAAATTTCTCCTAGAAAACTGAAACATCCAATCAGCTGATTTCCTTAGAAAACTGCACAACAGAGTACCTGAGAGAATTTAGGCAGTTTTAAATGCAGTTTAGATTAGATCAGATTAGATTTTTGGAGTGGCTGTTTTACTGGCTCAATTCGGTCATTACTTTGATACGTAGAAACTTTTCACTTCACTTACACATCTTCGCTTAACGGAATTTCTTTAAGACATTTGCAAAGTACTTTAGTATATAATGAGTGAATATTAAATAACACTACTGCAGGTGTGTTTTTGTAAGAAACTAATAGAACTGTTATCACATTATCACATAAATGACGGTTTATCTCCTTCCCCTCCTTTTTTTTGTCGCTCGCTCAGGCCATCCTGATGGATGTCAATTGTTCGATGAAGACACGTTCCTACTCAACCCAGGGCTCCAGCTATCAGATGGGAGACGACATGGACTTGGACAGTCCAGAGTAGACGCCTTTACCCTCTCTCAGACCTATAGCTTTGAAACCCATGACCCCTAGCCGTGTATGTGCCATTCAAGAGTATATTTTGCTGTATTAAAAGGAAGAATAGGGACTTTTAACAGAACCACGTGGCTGATTTTGCGAGCCTACATCCCTGACACTTAGTGTTGTTTGTTCAGCTGAAACCAAAGCTGTTGTCATTGTCCTTTAAAATTAGGGTGAAAGTGGCACGTCGAATCAAACCAACAGCCTTAGTTACACGCTCAGTCGGGCCATTCATTCAGAAACAAGGTGTTTAAAGCCACCAGCAAGGATACGACAAGGCACTGTTGTTCATATTAGGGGTGGGATGAAGTGAAGAATACTGAGAGATGGAAATGCGAGGAATTTTTATTTTTTTTTGGGGGGGTGGTTAATTTTTAAAGAACAAACGTCAGAAAAATCATTTTCATCAATCAGTTTGATAGAATATTATGATCTACAATTACACTATATAATATTAGATTAGCATGATATTTATTTACATCACACACTGATGTTCTTCAGTTTATTTGTTATTATTTGTAAACGGTTATTTGACATGTCTTCACATGGTTTATTGAGACACTTGGTTGTAAAATCCCTGATCGTGGCTTTAAAACGCGAAACTGAAGGCCGGCTGTGCTCCGTCACCATACAATATAACTGCTTAACACGTAAAAACTCAAAGATGAAGAGGCTAGTTTGAAAATCTCCAACAGGACTCTCATGTTGAATAACACACTCTACGGAGACAACACAGCCACACATGGCACAAAGTGGTTCATTTCTCGCGGATTTGTGGGGGGTGTTCTTTTTGAGGGAGGGGATGTTGTACGAGGAAACAGAGTTCATTTGCGGTGCGACTTAAACGAATCATATTTTACCTCGAAATGGCCTTAAAGTTTCCTTTATTATAACGAGGGGTGACTGTTCTACAAAGACCACGCGTCAGATATCATTTTCTAATACAACATGCTGAAACGGGAGCATAAATCCAGTAAAGTGTGGAGAGAAACAGAGAGAGAGAGAGAGAGTAATATATCCGTAGTCAAACTGAAGTTCATTTGATGTTTACAAGTCGGTGTTGCCTCCAAGCTGAACTTTTCATGTTCCTGTTTCATGTTCAGGCCTCGTTCATACCGTACGTGAACGGGTCGATGACTTAAAAGATGTCGATGTCGTATTATTTATTCTCGTGTAACAATAACAACAAATAGAGATTTATTCAGTAAATCGTTTAGATCCTAAAAGGACACAAAAAGGCACAATATAGCTCCTCATTCTGAACATGAGTTGTGTTCGTAAGCATGTCTTTCCTTCAGGTGTGAATTCCATCATGTCCAATAAATGATGTATTATCCAGTTACGAGAGATCATTTACTCGCTTTTAGTTCCAAGTCCAACAATAAACACACTGCTGTAGAGGATCTTGTTATAGTGCCTCAGTTTAATTAGAGTATATTCTGATTTCTAAAGTGTATATAGTATATATCTATATTTTAGTAAGCACATGTGAAAATGGTTATAAAGAGGTCTACTGTTTAGTCGTGCTATTTTTCTTTCTTGGTTTCTTTAATATGTCCGCTGGGGTTGTGTGTGTGTGTTTTTTTTTTTTTTTTGCCAAATAGGCACCTTGTATTGAGGTTTATACTGTATATGGACATAAAAGCCATATCAGAGTCATTTTAAATTCTCATCTTCGAAACTGTAGCCGTTCCATTATTCCATGTTTGCGTTCTGTTTTTATGATGGAAGGAGCTGTAAAGCAAGAGGTCTGGAAAACGCAGAATCTGCGATATGGTTATGCCTTAAAGAGCCCATCTAACATGGGTTAATCAGATCTGTAGTGAGATGAAGCACGCGGTGTTAAAGCTGTGTGCGTGCAGGTCCACCATACACACTGGCAATTCAAGCTAATGCGAAACGCGGTTAAATCATACCGTAGAACTTTATTCTAACAGATCTAAGACACGGCACGCATTGACCTGACCCTAGGACACGTCCGTATAAATGGTTATGTGTCATTTTTAATCAAATTTCAGATTGACGCCTCCCCCCTCTTTCGGAAATGTATTTAAGATTTTCTCCATTTTCGCATTAGCTACCGTGCGTATACGTTTCCATTCAGATTTTTCACTTTGCACAAAAAGACCAGCATCTCAAATCAGCTCGAATTAAAATGCTAACCAGGATTGGCTGGCTATGGCATACAGAGCTATCAAACTAGCAAGATGCATCGATATAGTGGTATAATCCCCTCGGAAGCGTAAATATCCGTGAAAGACAACTCAATCTGCTCAGAGCCACCCTGTTGATTTCCCATCAGACCTGGGATTTACTTGCGCAAACAATCGAACTCTTTTATAGCTCTGGAGGGGTCATTTATGAGGGAATTGGGCATGCATATGCAGCATCTAAGTACACTCCAAAAACCAGGAAATAAACAACACAGAGAATACTAGGATTTCTGCGTACAGCGTATTTCAGGGGATTGTATTTGTTTCCTGTCTTGCCCAGGTAGTCAGTACAGTATCTTTAATCTTATTGTCATCTTACTGAATCAGCATTAAAAACTTAGTAAGGTTAGCAATTTGGGGGTTTAAATTACATGCTAATCTTGAATTAGCATATTGGGCATGCAGCTTGTAAGCTACATAGTAAGTTTCAACAAAGGAAAGAAAACCAACGCCTTATTGAACCAGATTCTGGTGATTATCGTGAAGAAGTTTTGTTCTGTTCACAAACATACAGTATCATAGAGCTTCACCCTAACGTTCCCACTTAATAAGGATCCAAACTCTTGTGTCATTTCTTTTCTTGTTCTGAGACGTGTCGCGTGCTTGAGATCACGTGCGTATGTGCCAATGTCGGTGTGTGCCTTTATTCATGTGTCTTCAGTATGTGTGTGTGTGTGTGTGTGTGTCTAAAGTATCTCCTCAAGGCTGTGCGAGGACAGTTTTGTATCCTGTAGAAGCCCTGTAGTCAGGATTCAAGTCACATGACTGTAACACTATGGGGTGTATGTACGTAGTTGATGGAACCACAGCCAAAAATAAAGAAATAAATGTTGAATATTAAGTACATTTTGTGCACGTGTGTTTGAATAAATTCTTTTCATTGCTTCTCTGTTGCCCATGGGCTAGTATTATGCATTAACCATGTATTAAGAAGAATGGATTGCATGGATGTTCCTGACGCTCTTTTAACGGTGGGATGAGCATCTTTAAGACGCACGCATTAATTAACATGTCCGGTGTGTCCAGTGCTCTGTGACTGCAATTCTTTCACCTACTAAGAAGTCATATTCATTTTTAAAATAAAACAGCGAGTGTTTCTTCGGTAAACAGGTTGTAGACAAGGCTGGAAAAGTGGCGTTTTCCGACGATCGATCGACACACCGATCTCATTTAGAGCTCAATAACTGCACAGGTTGCCATCTGCTCACAGATCGATCCGCGTGTTGATTTTGCTCAGTGAACACTTCAGAGCATTTGAGAATGGCTCAGCTTGCATTTAAAATCGAGTCAATAGTGATCGTTACATCAGATTTTCACTTGCAAAACCATTTGCATGATGGGCAACAAACAAACGGACAATTCCGATTATTATACCGATGATTATTTGTACTGATTCATGTCTGCAATGAAAATCATCATATAAGGAATAAAACACCACAGGGTTTGCTGTAATAGGAAAACAATCAGCGACACGGTGCTGCCATGCAGCCTGATGCGACGTGGAGCTATGCAGAGACTTGTTGATTTTTGCTGCTCAAATCTTTTGATTCATTTTTAAAAAATGCACTTTTTACATTTATGGCATTTTTTGCAGACGCCCTTGTCCAGAGCGACTTACATTTATTTCATTTATACATCTGAGCAGTTGAGGGTTAATGACATTGCTCAAGGGCCCAGTGATGGCGTGGTGGTGCTGGGGTTTGAACTCGCGACCTTCCGATCAGGATCAGTAGCCCAACCTCTTAACCACTAGAGCTACCACTTTCAGAACCGCTTAGAGGTACATAGATGTTGTTGAACATCCACCAGTTAGTTCCTGTTGTCGCTTACCTTATCGCAGCCTTTCTTTTCTCTCCAAGTCATGTTACCAAGAAACCGGAAAGCACAAACTCCGCCTCCCTGAAGACTGACACTGGAGACTCCTTCCATAAATATTCACTAAAATGTTTTGTTTGTTTGTTTTGAAAAGCTCACTACATGAACTATACCGTAACATATTAGAACAAACGCATTAATATAGTTTTTGCAGTTCTATATAAAAGAATTACCTTTGCAGTAAATTAATTAATTAATTAAATTAATTAACAGCTTCTGATTGTTCAGAATTCAACATGAATACTTTTAGCATTTTGTGGCTAGCACATAATGAAAGCTTGGAGACTGTTAGCGTTCCTCATCATGCTAATTGGCTAGTACACCTTTCGGTTATTGACGGACAAGCTGCCAGTACTGAATAAATCTAGTCTAGTTTTATGTACGTGATTGAACCCAGTATAATCGTGTTAAAGAACACGGCTAGTATCCAATTAGCATTTTTACAGCATCCAGCATTCATTATTATGCTAACGCTAATTGCCGCCTGCTAGCCACGCTGCCGATTTTGTCCATATAATTCGTTTACATAAGGAACAAGACATAAGGAGCAAACTAACTTTGTAATTTTTTTTTAAAAGTAATTTATTTTGTATCTCAAGTGCATAAGCAAATATGATATGTCAGTGTGTAAAGTTCCTGCATCACGATACAAAGCTGTGCAGTGTTTCAGCAGCTGTCCTTAAAACCACATTTAAAACATAAAACTTTTTTTTTTTTTTTTTTTTTACTGGAAGCAAAGAGGACAACAATAATATTGAAAATAAACCAGCGTACTGTGCGTCATCAGAGAGGGTTGAGCTAGGGTTGAGTTCGCAGCGTCCATTTTCGTGTAGGCTATTTACAGTAGGGCTAAGGCTATGCTTATGCAGGAAGTTTAAATCAGTTTTTTTAATTTCCCCTGTTCTGCATATCAAATCCAATCTTTTAAATTTCATACTGGATCCATATTCGATGGATGGCAGAAGGATCCGGAAGCTTGTGTGTACACACAAATCGGGTTTGAAGAAACAGGCATGAAGAAGAAATCTGATTAAAACTGGCTGCTTAAGAAACATGACTCAGCTTCTGATGAGGACAAGTCTAGCAAAAATGTTTCACCACAATTAGCTTAGCCAAACACGATCATCACTGTGAGGAACACCTAAAGAGAACTTGAGAGATAGAGCCTCTGGTGTGTGTGTGTGAGGAGCATGGGGTCATTGTTACAGCAAATAGCTACGAGGACACGAACAAAAACAAGAACGACAAAGCTTCCAGGAACGTTTTCCAGTGATGCTTTAGCCTCAGGCTAAAACAGGGCACATAAGTGTGTGAGCTGAATGTTGAGTGAGAGAGTGAGTGTGTGTGAGAGAGGGGGGGGGAGAGGGAGAGAAAGAGTGTGTGTGTGTGTGTGAGAGAGAGTGTGTGTGTGTGAGAGAGTGTGTGTGTGAGAGAGAGTGTGTGAGAGTGAGAGAGTGTGTGTGTGTGAGAGAGAGTGTGTGAGAGTGAGAGAGTGTGTGAGAGAGTGTGTGTGAGAGAGTGTGTGAGAGAGTGTGTGAGAGTGAGAGAGAGTGTGTGTGAGAGAGTGAGAGAGAGAGAGAGAGAGTGTGAGAGTGAGAGAGAGAGAGAGTGAGAGAGTGTGAGAGAGAGAGTGTGTGAGAGAGAGAGAGTGTGAGAGAGTGTGAGAGAGAGTGAGAGAGAGAGAGTGTGAGAGAGAGAGAGTGAGAGAGTGTGAGAGAGAGAGAGGTGTGAGAGAGAGAGTGTGAGAGAGTGTGTGAGAGAGTGTGAGAGAGAGTGTGTGAGAGAGAGAGAGTGTGTGAGAGAGAGTGAGTGTGTGAGAGAGTGAGTGTGTGAGAAAGAGTGTGTGAGAGAGAGAGTGAGCGTGTGAGAGCGTGTGAGAGAGAGAGTGTGTGAGAGAGAGAGAGTGTGTGAGAGAGAGTGAGAGAGTGTGAGAGAGAGAGTGTGTGAGAGAGAGAGAGAGTGTGTGAGAGAGTGTGAGAGAGAGAGAGAGAGTGAGTGAGTGAGAGAGAGTGTGTGAGAGTGTGTGAGAGAATGTGTGTGTATGTGTGTGAGAGAGTGTGTGTGAGAGAGAGAGAGAGAGAGAGAGAGAGAGAGAGTGAGTGAGAGAAACGAAAACAGCACAAAATTCTCTCCTATTTTCACTGATACGGTGATTGATCTATGAAAATATTGAGCAAAAGCCTACAGTAGAAACGGTAAAAATGGCTGAAATGGTAGAGGGACTGCTCTCCTCATAACTACCAACCTCTTTTAATCCCTACACACACGTTCCCATCAGTCCTCGTGTGCTTCGTTTGTGCATTTAAAAGGACATCCACAAAAGGTTTTCAGTCCTCCGTGTCATTTTAAAAAAGTCTAAGTGAAAGAAATTTCTTCACTCATCTGAAGAGCTTCATCACCTACGAGGATTAAATCAGCTCATATATACGTTCGGTGGTTTGAGAAAACCAATCTCATCCTCTTGAAGAGCTCTGTTAACAACCGAGAGAGAGAGAGAGAGAGAGAGAGAGAGAGAGAGAGAGAGAGAGAGAGAGAGAGAGAGAGAGAGAGAGAGAGGAAAAATATCTGGCTTTGGCCAAAATTTTGTTTTTCTTTTTTTTTTTTTTTAAATCTATCAAACAACTTAACTTTAAGAAAGCATAAGTATATTTCAAATTGTTGTGGAATACTTTCGTTATTTTTCTAAAGGTTTTCCCAGACCACCACGCACATCAGTTCAACAAGTGGCTAAAAAGTGTTCAAGTGCCCTTGTCTTAAAGCTGCTTAAGTAATTAATCTGGATTTCACTTTTTTTTTTAACAGATGATGTGCATGAGGTTTTGTTTTTGCTTTTTGAATTATTATATTGTGTACTGCATTTTTCTATGCAATTTTTTTTTTTTTTGAGGCTAGAGTGAGACATCGATGGCCTCATGAGTATGCTGATGCTTAACCAGGAGTAACAACCAGGACCTATTGTACAAAATTTTAGTGTAGTAATGTAACGAAAAGAACGGATCTTCTGTTAACACTACAGCATTATCTATCGGAGGCCTTCAGACTGATTCATTGTGTGTTTTTTTTTTTTTCTGAATTCTTAGTCTACTACTATTGAACTGAAGACCAACATAATGCTTTAAATGGACTGCAAAGATTTTCTACAGTTCTTTTGGAAATACATTCATTGGCATAAAAATAAAAATAATAATAATAATAATAAGAGGAGAAGAAGAAGAAGAAGAAATCTTCAAAAAGCAAAATAAAAAAATTGGAGGCTCACCAACTGAGCATGCCGGCCCAATTAGCAAAATACCAGACGGGTCTGAAGGAAATTAAGCCTTGAAATTGTAAATGTAAAAGTAGCTACGCTTTCAAATAAAACCAAATGACAAACTACAAATTGTATCATTTGGTTGAATTCAAATGGCTTTTTCGTGGAAAAAGTCTACCATCATGTTGATATTTTTGAAGGTGCAAACCAACTATTGTAGGGACATCCTGAAAAGACACAAAGAAAAAAAAAATATTTCATCAAAATATATTATTACTTATAGCATGACATCCATCATAACATAAAATAAAACAGTGGAGATTTGTCACATTTGCTTGGCATTACTATTCAACATAATTGAAAAGAAAAAGAAAAAACCATGGTCCCCAAAAAGGCATAAGTACAGATAATAAATCCCTTGTAATTTAGCACAGATAAATATATCTAGAATAATTCAAAAAAAAATGTAGTACAGTAAAAAGTGCTCACGTTTAGAGGACATGAAAATTGGAGAAAGAAAATACACAACACAGGGGTGGGGGTGGAGCTCCACGTGGAACCAATATTAAGGTTTACATTCTAGTACATGATTAAATCCTACTGGTTAGGAGCAGACGGTCAAAAGCAAAAAGGTGCAAAGCTCACAAGAAAGCAAGTCATCCTGGAATTCTTCAATTGTAAATATTACCAGTAACACTGATGCTACAAAATGGAGTCTCCCCTTGGAGCCTATCGTGTTTTATTACTACACAAAGTGGTGCATCCCATTTGAGCCAAGGCAGGAAAGCTTGGTCTGATCTACAAGAATGCGGATAACATCCAATACTGACCTAAAAGTTTGATATTTGAAACATCGCATTGATGCAATCCAGTACTGACTGGATCGGGACCAAGTTGGGATAGGCTAAGAAAAAGACGTAAGCGAGAACAACCTCACAAAAAAAAAAAAGAGAGAATTTTCATACACTTCTGGGTATCTCGTAAAATAACTTAGTTTGCAAACCTCACATTCATAACCAACCCAAGTGCCAAACAGTCCCATACAGTCCCCAGAAACCCCACTCGTTTTGCACTTCTGTTCCCTAACGTGGTAATGCTTCCACACAGATCTGTTCCTCACTAATGTCATTTAGACTCTGTACATCCTCTGGGCTACAAACGTCACTGTCGTACACTTCTGCACCCATCAGGTCCTCCTCCAGAACCTCCAATTTTGACTTTGGAAAGCCGTGCTGTTCGGATGGCGAGGTCCCCTCCAAGGACTCTAGGTCCTCTATGCCGGCACGGTAGTGGATCATTAGCAGTGTCAAAGCCTGAAGCCGTTCACCTGACTTGACGAGCGCTGAAGTGATCAGGGTTTTGCGACGTGCATCAGTTGATTCCCTCTCTTCTGACATCAGTGAGTTGTTGTGCTCCAGCTCTTGGTCAATCTCCTGCTGGAGCTTATCCAGCATCAGTTCCAGCTTTTGTGATCGCTCATCTGTAGGGAGTCCACGGTACAGGTCCCGCCCGATCTCCTTGACTGCAATAAACACGCTGTCATCTAACCCTCCCTCTTTGCGTGCCAACTTTGTTCCACCACTGGTTGGTGGTTGTTTTGACGGACTAGCCCCTGTGTACGTCTCGGTGTCGCTGCT